CCGGGCTGGGGATTCGAACCTGCCACCTTAGGTGTATGTGGCTGGCGCCTTAGCCGCTTGAGCCACAGGCGCCGAGCCCACTTTTCTTTTCAAGACAGAGTCTCACTCTGCTGCCCTGGGTAGAGTGCCATGGCATTGTAGCTCACAGCAACCTCAAACTCTTGGGTTTAAGCAATCCTCTTGCCTCAGCCTCCTAAGTAATGCTTTTTTGTTGTTTAAGGAAATATATCCTGGAATATAAAAACCTACCACAAATTTGGTGAGAACAGGTGCTTTCTGTCTGTCTTCACCATTGACTCTGAGTATCTGGCCCAATTCATGTCATGTGATACCACATCAATATTTGTGTGAAGAATGCATTTCTTTTCATCAGCTTAAAGCAATACTTAGTATTTACCATTAAAATCACAACAAGCTATCACCCCACACCTGTTGGATTGTCCATAATCAAAATGACAAAAGTGTTGAGAAGAGTGTGGAGAAAAGGAAACCCTTGGACACTGCTAGTGGGAGTGTAAATTAGTACAGCCATTATGGGAAACGGTATGGAGGTGCCTCAAAAAATTCAAAACAGAACTATCATATGACCCAGCAATCCCACCACTGGATACATATCAAAGAAAAGGCAATCAGTATGTTAAAGAGATATCTACACTCCCATGTTCTGTGCAGTACCATTCACAATAGCTAGGATATTGAATCAACATGAGCGTCCATCAACAGAAGAATGGATAGGGCCACGTGCAGTGGCTCACGCCTGTAATCCTAGCACTCTAGGAGCCAAGGTGGGTGGCTTGCTTGAGCTCAGGAGTTTGAGACCAGCCTGAGCAACAGCTAGACCCAGCCTCTACTAAAAATAGAAAAAGCAGCCAGGCACTGTGTTGGCACTTGGCTGTAGTCCTAGCTACTCGGGAGGCTGAGGCAGGAGGATCACTTGAGCCCAAAAGTTTGAGGTTGCTGTGATGACTTCATGGCACTGTAGCCTGGGTGACAGAGTGAGCCTCTGTCTCAAAACAAAACAGATGAATGGATAAAGTAAACATATGATATATGCCCTGTGTGATGCTATTCAGCCTTATGAAAGAAAAAAATGATCCTGTCATTTGGGACAATGTGGACACACCTGGAGGACATTATGTTAAGTGAAATAAGCCAGCCACAGAAAGACAGACACTGCATGATGTCATTTATAATATGGGAAATCTAAAAAACTATTAAACTCATAGAACCAGAGAAGAGAATGGTTGCTAGGGACTACGGGCTAGTGGTGAGGGAGTCCAAGTACACAAAATTTCACTTAAACAGGAGGATAATAAGTTCCAGGGATCCATCGTACAATATAGTGTCTATAGTTAATAACAATATATTATATTCTTGAAAGTGGCTGAAAGAGTGTATTTTATGTGTTCTATCCACAAAAAAATTATAGGAGGCAGTGCATATTAAACAGCTTAATTCAGCCGTTCTGCAGTACATACATCTATCAAAACATCATGCTGTATACCACATATACTATACAGAGGGTGCTGAAAAAATGTATACACATTTTAAGAAAAACAAAAACTGTATTAAAATTGTAATACTGAATATAAACGGGTAACATTTGTTGT